CTTTGGACTCTAAAATAAAATGTTCCAAATTTGAACCAATCCCCCTTCACACTTCTTAGTCCGATATCTTTGAGATGTCCTTACCATTTGAATTCCTTGAAGATAATTTTTCCTTGATTTCTATCGAGAGTATTCTTAGGTAACTTCAATTATCTAAGATGTAATTAACTATAGGGGCTTGCCCCTATAGGAAGCTTTTCCCGAACCCAGCACAATATAAACCCTATTTAATTCCTTATATTAAATAGGGGAATTTGTCGGCCAATATATTGGTTCCGCAGATCAAACGGATGTCATGACTTTCTCTAGTTTATTTGATCGAGTCTCACCCTTAAATTCTTGTATTCATCCTTTGGGATAGATACAGAATTTGAGATAAAGTGCTCTTCCATTTAAACTATGAAAATTATGGAGTTAGTTTGACTTCATCTTTTTCAAAACTAAATTTTTTTAACGTCCTTCCGAAGCGGGCAACGGGATTTCAATTCCAATGACCGACAGCTTCTTACGGGCAAACTCCACACCAAAAATAGTGCCGACAGGGGGCAACACTTCGCGGTTTGATACAGGGTTAATTTAAGTAATTACATATTGTACTATAGAGTTATATATCTGTCATGTTTGTAACCCTATGTGAGCCTCCGAGACTCCAAGATTCTGAATTTTGTATTTTGTACTCTTTTATGAATATTGAAAAGGAAGTCGTTGCTCTGCTCTAGAAGACGTATGCATCTTTTCCGAACCTCATTAAATCTCTGTGTTATTTTAGATTTGTGTCAAATTTGTTTTTCTTCGCCCAAATTTCTCAACAAGATTCATGTAAGATAATGAGAATTTGTTGACGACATATTAAATACAACATATTCCCATATCAAAAAAGCAATACGCAATGGTTAAATCATACCACTCATCTTTTACTTCTTGTTTTAACCTTCTATAATAATTTTCTCCAATCCAAGTCACAAATATGACTTTTTTTCGGTTCACGACGCGCTCTTCTAGTTTCAAAATTAATATTATATTGGAACATGAGCTTGCTAAAGTATTATTGATCTAAGTTGACAATGTTGATGTGATGACAACTACCATCAATATATTCTTTGATTAGTGACTCAAATATTTATCATAGGTATTGATGCCATGATTGCATTTGTGTAGACCAATCCAAAATTTAAGAACTAATTTGATATCTTCTTTTAAGAAGCTTTGTTGTCTTTGTATTATGGTTCTTAAGAGACGTAATAATTTCACGTCCATGAAAATTTCTCTTCACTTTGGTAACATTTACTACTAATAAATTATTAAGATATATATTTAAGATATATATTTTTTTTATTTAAAGGAATGGCCGCAGGCTATTACAAGAGCGTCCAACACCCCTAATGTGCCTAATAATTCGTGTACCATCTTTCTTAAGGCTAATTGTGCCAGAGGGGATTCAAACCCCTGACTTGACTTGAAGGGTATATGTATTATGTATATGTATACTCTTCAAGTTAACGAATATTTCAACTAATCATAGGATCATAAATCTTTTAGACTGAATTACAAAATAATTAGTGCATATATGAAAGAGTGGAGACAATCGATGTATACTATCTGTCAAAAAACCTAATCATCAGGCCGCCACGTGTACTGCACGCCCAAATTTAACAAACTTAATTACAATACATTTGCCAACACATAGATATTCTAAAAGAGTATATTTAACACATTCTTTAATTAATTTTTAGTAAAATTCATCATTAACTTGATTCTTCGGAATTTATTCAAGAATTATATACCTTTCATTCATATTAGTGCTTAAACACCACATCATTAAAATTAAACATCCATTTTGCATTTTGATGCAATTTTTGTATGAGGACAATGAAGAATTCCTTGCAAAATTATGCGTTATATTCGCATAATATGTAATAATACTATTTAAGAAAGACTAAAAAGTACATATACTTACAAAAAAAAAATAAAAAATAAATTTCACTCTCACATTCTTAATAAATTTCAAGCCTAATCTTATACATGTCAAATTCGAAAATATCTTTTTGACTAATTATATTTAATTTTTTAAAATTTAAAATTTAGTGTATTGTTTAATTCCATAACCCGTATACAATGTATCCGCATACTCACACCAGAGCGAGCCAATGCATCCCGCGTTAAAGCCTTCCGCAGCGGAAACGACGTTTGAAGTCGCGCCATTGGCGACCTGTCTTCATCTCCCTCGAATGGGTTTTGGGTCGAAGGATCCATCTGTGGCGATGCTGGATTTTCTCCGGCAAGTCGGTGGCTGCGCGGTGGTGGACGGGGGGCTGGCAACGGAGCTCGAGGCACATGGCGCCGACCTCAACGATCCTCTATGGAGCGCCAAGTGTCTTGTCAGCTCTCCCGATCTCATCCGCAAGGCATCACTCTCTTCCACCATGTTTTCTTCTACTCGCTTGCTCTCTAGTTGTTTTATTAAAATTGTGAACATGAGCATATTCTAGGTAACCTTGTTTGATTAGAGTTGTCTAATTGTGTCTATTTGTGTGGGACTATGGAAATATTCGAAGTAATCTGTGTAGTTGTTGAGTTTGTGGCTACTCTCTGATATCTTTTTTCCTCTTGTAATGAAGGGAAATCTTCCTTTAGTTTATAAGCTGAAAATGGACTTGGTAGATGGTGGACTGAAAAGCGGTTTTGTGTTATATGATTTCATAAATAGTGCTGAAGTTGATCTTCTTGTAACCCGTCAATTTGATATACAAGACTGCTGGCGGTTTCGTGTTTTCATTCTCGTATTAGGGCTAGAATTAGCATCTTATAAACTAGTGAAATGAAATGCAGGCTCCGAAATGATCAAATAAATCAATTTATCATCTAGTTTCAATACTGAGGCAGGTCATCAGGTAGTTGACACCGGAGTTAACTAAAACAACGACACACAATTTTATTGCTGTCTTTCAAATGGGTATAAGGAGGACGCGACAACAAGAATGACTGAATTCAGATAATGATAGATAACAATGCAAATTGCAGAAATAAAAAACAAATGTAAATAATAGAAGATAGAAGAAACACTCTCGAGTTGGTGCGGTCGATCCGTTGAGTGGCAGATGTTGCGGGAGTAACGTTAGGGTCCGACAAGTCCATGGAAAGCGCAAAATCGACACTTGGGGAAGGTGGAGGTCTTTGGACAGGGATCTACTGGAGGTAGGGTGAGCACTGGGTGACTAGCGGCCAGTCTGCGCAGGGGGGGGGGGGGGG